TTTTGATACTATATGAATGCTCTTTGACCCCAGAATTCCAATCTTGGGTGATTTTCCCCAGGCAAAAGACAAGCTGTATAGCTTATTTCTTTTCATAAAAATGGAAATTTGAACTCATCTGTGAGCACTTAGGAAATTTATGTACAATTTCGAAGATGCAGTATGTTATCCACAATGATGTAGAATCACCGAGAAATGATATGGTTATATTTTTACCAAGCATCTGGTGTTTGTGTCAAGACTCTGTAGTAGAAGATTTAACCTAATTCAGACACATTTCAGGAATTGTAGAGTAGGGGCTATTTGATCTTTGAGATATTAAAAAAAACCAAAAACTACACCTTTGCCAATTTGAGTGTCAACATAAAACTTATACCTCTTTTAAGGCAGTATTTTTCAGCTGGTGGTGAACGTTATTAGGAAAGAGAGGGAAACACAACGAAGGAAGCAGACATCACAAAGCCTGTGGTTAAAATTGCACCTCTCCTTTTTTTACTTTGTTCACAGTGTGGGTTTTTATACTCTGGACTCATTTATAGGGCTCTTTCTGCTTTGGAGACTATCGCTAATTTGCATCTAACAACATATATACATCAAGGCTTCTCATCACTTGCTTTATAAAAAATTCAGTGCTTCCCTATATTTTTTGGTTCACTGGTATGTTGCATGGCTCTGTGGTGGAAGTAAAGAAATATAATGCTTTAAGGAACATAAAGTTCCTCCTATTTATTAATGGTGAGGCATCTTTTCATTATAATAGCTAACAGTATTGGGCAGTTTTGGATGAATACTTATTTACTGATATGTAAAGTGGGTACTTGAGGAGCTCAGAAAAGGAGACAGCTCATCTCCAGTGGCCTGGGAAAAGGAGTTGTTGAAGAGAAAATATTGGAACTGTTTTTTGGAAGGGCCTGTTAGGAGAGAGGTAATCTAGGATAGACATTCCAGAAATGAGAGGGCCCAGGTATGTATAGGCGAAAGTTAAGTCTGTGATCTTGATTGGAGTGCTGGCTTCACCTTAAGGAGAATAAGATATGATTGGAATATTGAGGTCAGATTATTGTAAATGATGAGATGAGGAGCCTGGTGATGGCAGCAGCAACTGTGTTTGTTGGTTTTTTTCTTTATGATTTTTATTGGAGTCGAGTTAATACTGTGTAAGTTTCAGGTATGCAGCAGCATGAATGAGCTATACATATATCCATCCACTCTTTTCTAGATTCTTTCCCCAGGCGGGCCATTTCAGAGTACTGAGCAGAGTTCCTGTGCTATACAGTAGGTTCTTCTTAGTTCCCTGTTTTATGTGGGCTTCCCTGGTGTCTCAGATGGTCAAAGAATCCGCCTGCAATGCAGGAGACCCGGGTTTGATCCCTGGGTCAGGACCATCCCCCGGAAAAAAGAATGGCAACCCACTCCAGTATCCTTGCCTGGCGAATCCCGTGGACTGAGGAGCCTGATGGGGTGCGGTCCAGGGGTCGCACAGAGTCAGACACAGCTGAGCGACTCACACTCTGACTTAGTTCTTTGTTCAGTGTGTATATGTCAGTCCTCATTGCCCTTTTGCCCCCTGGCAACTGTGCACATTTCTTTTCTATGTCTGTAACCCTATTTCTGTTTTGTAGATAAAGTCACTTTTACACTTTCTTGGAGCAACATTTTTTTTTTTTTAAGGAAGACCACTCTATTGAAGGTGTAAGAGGATTGGAAGAATAAGAGGTGGGAGACAGAAAACTCAGTGAGGAAAACTGCATGAGTTGAACTAATGTGGTGACTGTCAGAATGGACCAGAAGGGGCAAATTTACAGAGTTGAGAAAGATTAATGAATTTGGACACTAACTCCTTTGTGAATACAAAGGATAAGGGAATGTATTAAAGATTGTTATGAAGTTTTAAACCTGGAGATCAGTGACAGTAAGAAAATAGTAAACAGAAAGTTGAAAGAAGGAATTACTAATTTTTATGGGAAGAGGATTTAGGTTTCAGAATTTGGGATTGATTTTATATGAAATAAGTGAATAGGTCAGGCATGAAGTCACAGATGTAGGATTGAAGCTTGGGAGAGAAAAGAGGGATAAAGACCATATTATGGTAGGGGACATAATATGTGTGGAGACTGCTTTTTGAAGTTTAGAACCAAAAGACAGAAAGGAAAAAAGGTAATAGATTGTGAGAACCAAAGCAAGATATTTGTTGACAAAAAAATGTATTAGAAATAGTACATTTGTATAGATAGAATGAGAGAAGCTGGTGAATAGAAAGACTAAGAATCCTGAGCTCTAATAATTAAGGGGATGTGGAGAAAAAGAACAATAATCATAAAATACCTGGATTTTAAGGATAGTGCTTACTTATGTCCTGGTCAGTCAATATTTTATTATAAAAGGACAGCCATTGATTTCTAGGACAATAATTACTTCAGAAGAATTACTTTGGTGTAGTGTGGCTTTGGTAGAAACATAATTCTGTCATGTTGGTGTAATAAACAACGTTTAAGTGAAACCAGGGTATTTGTAGACATCATTCTATATTGAAATTTGAAAGATGTTAACAAGTTGAAATTCTTTTCTGATTTACTCAGCTTGCTTTGATCACAGATTCCTGCAAACTTTATTAACATCAGTGCTAAATCTGCAAAATAATTGAGTCCCTCACTGGAATTGTTACTACAGATCCAGTTCAATTGTCTGACTATTGTGCAATTTGGGTGATATATTAACAGAGATAGTACTTGTCATTATATTACTTCATCAGCATACTGAGTAATACTCCAGGGACCTCATAAATAAAAAAAATAAAACTTTGAGCAATCTCTTAACATGTTTTATTCTTTCCCAGTGAGCTCTTTATTATACAGAAAATAAAATAAAGTACCTTTATTGTGCAGAGGATGAAATAAAAGAAGGCCATAGGGGCGTCTCTGATGGCTGCAATGGTGAAGAATCTGCCTGCCATCTCAGGAGATGCAGGTTTGATCCCTGGGTCGGGAAGATCCCCTGGAGAAGGAAATGGCAACCCACTTCAGTATTCTTGTTGGGAAATCCCATGAGCCTGGTGGGCTACAGTCCATGGGGTCTCAAAAATGTCAGACACAACTTAGTGACTAAACAGCAACAACAAAAGTCCATTCACTGACACCTGTAATCAGTCTCATTGATAGTTTTTATGCAGTTAGTGAGAGTGGACTGCCATGGGTAAGAAAACAGACTGGTGTGAACTAAACCTCAGTTGAAATCCTGACCTGTTACACTGTAAATATAAGACCTTAGGCTAGTTTCTTCTTCCCTCCTTCCTTCCCTCTCTTTTTCTTTTGAGTTTTTTAAAGAGCATTTTAAAGCTCATAGTAAATTGATGGGGGGCATACAGAAAGTGAAAGTGAAAGTCACTCAGTCGTGTCCGGCTCTTTGCAACCCCATGGGCTATACAGTCCATGGAATTCTCCAGGCCAGAATACTGGAGTGGGTAGCCTTTCCCTTCTGCAAGGGATCTTCCCAACCCAGGGATCAAACCCAGGTTTCCTGCATTGCAGGCAGATTCTTTACCAGCTGAGCCCCAAGGGAAGCCCAAGAATACTGGAGTGGGTAGCCTATCCCTTCTTCAGGGGATCTTCCCAACCCAGGAATCGAACCAGGGTCTCCTGCATTGCAGGCGGATTCTTTATCAACTGAGCTATCAGGGAAGCTGGAGCGTAGAGAGATTTCCTGTTAACTCCTGCTCCCCCACACCCACATGGGCTCGTTTGTTTAACACTGCTAATTCTCAGTTTCCTTATCTCTAAATTACAATTAGTAACAATTCATAGATTTGAGGATTGAGTAAGATCATGTTTTCAAAATGCCTGATATGTGGTAAGTACTCGGTAACGTGTATGTGATCATAATAGAGACATAATCGGCTTTAAAACTTACTTGGAGCAGTATATTCACAGGTGCTTCATAAGTGTTTTTTGATGATAATGCTTAATATGGTTCTCACACTTTGAATGAATGATTACACACACACACACATACCCCTACCTCTATGTAGGGATACTAGTGATTATGGGACCCTGAGTCTGAAAAGCTTTCACTTCCCTCATGAATAGAATTGTTTGCCTACATGTACTGTATACCACTTGGTTATTGTGAAATTGTAAATGTGGTAAATAATTATAGAAGTGAGTTGATAGACTTTAGCCCCAGGTTAGATATTCTTAGGAACTGTGGTGATTTCTATTCTAGATCTGTTGTTTTCTTTCCGAACAGTGGGAGCTTTTTACTACACTTGTACTAGAGATAGTACAACTGATTCTAGCCCAGGCCCCCGAACCCTTGAAGCTCTGAAGTGGATTGATTTTTATAAGCAGGACCTCCTGGCAGTAGTGATTTAAAAAAAAAAACCTGTTGCTTTTGTTGCTTTGAAGCTCTGCAGATGAGTAGTGGCCCTCGAAATTATTTGCAGGTCAAGACCACTTAGTCCACTGTGGCCTCTGCTGGCCTGGTTGGCAGGTGTTTTAGGTTGCTGGTTCATTTCCTTGTCTATGTTCTGAGAACTGACCTCCCTGATAAGATTTTGTTCTTTAAATGAAGTAACACATCTAAATGGATTGGCCCCTTGCCTGCAGAATAGTAAGCCCTCAGTAAACATTATGGCATTACTGCTGATGCTGCTATAATTTGGAATAATGAGGATTAAATTATGACTGCAGGATTATATTGCTTGACTCACCCAACTTCATGCCTGACACATAGTAGACCCTCAATAAAAACTTCCCATTTACCCCCATGTGCAAATGCCCACTATACCCTGTTCTCAGTTTTAGGCATGGGTAGCAAATCGATGACTTTCTGGCCATAATGAATCTTTCCTTAGGTCTACTACTAGAAATAATGAATAGCTAGGTTAATATCCTTCTTAGTCAAGGAGGTTTTAGAATTAGGTCTTCATGGTTTTAAAATTGCTTTTTCCTAATAGCATATCGTAAAGGTGCATGTTAATTTTAAGTGTTTATCTGCTTGTACAGATGCTGTTGACTGAGTACTTGGATATGAAAAATACACGTACAGCCTCTGAACCATCAGCTCAGCTCAGTTATGCCAGCAGTGGACGCGACTGTGCAGCCTTTTTTGCCAAGAAGAAGCCTCAAAGGCCAAAAAATTCTCTTTTCAAGTAAGTATCTCCCTGCTGGTAAGATAGATGTTCAGATGTGTTAGATCCAAGCTGAATGGTTCTCTACTTTATTAACAGTCATTATTTCACCCAGTTAAAGTTGATTTGAAAGAATTATGATAGCAATATATATTCCTCTCATATACTGAATATATATATTCAATTTTGTGTATTTTCGTCTTCTGTAAGAGAAGTGGCTATTTTGAACTATGGTTGCTGGACTATCTAAAACTTTCAAAAAAAATTTCTGGAATTCATTTCTGGGTATTTTTATATAAAATGAAGAGAAATTCCCTTCTTGTTTCTGGGGAATTTTGTATGGAATGAAAGGAAATGAAGTAGTATAGCCTTTGCAAAGGCCCCAAGTGCCAAGAAACAACCTTTGTTAATAAAATTATAAAGCTAGCTAAGTAGTATTGGGTTTTACTTGAAGTAATAAAAGAATAACGTGGACATTCTTTTTTCCTCATTATGATCAACTACCCTCCTCAGCTGGTCATAAGTTGGTGTCAGTTGGTAATAGCTACCAGTTAATATTATTATTAACATTAATAGTAATAGCAGTAACAGCTATCATTGCTCAAGTGCTTACTATGTACCAGGCATTGTGGTAAATGGGTTTTTCAGGACAGTCTCAAATTAATCATAATTTAATTCAGATTATATCAAATTTGGGCAGCAAGAGTAGTGGTTAACACTTCTGAGTCCTTACTAAGTGTTAGCCAAGGCATGAAGCCATTTTCTTGGATTATCTCATTTACTCATTCATTATAAAAATCTTATGGGTGTGGGTACTATTTTTCATCCTCTTTTACACATGAAAAAAAATTGAGGCACTAACCTCTTAGACACATACAATTTAGTAAAGAAGACAGACAAGTAAATACTTGTGATGGTACCATGAGTGCATGGTATTGGTGGAGGCCATGGAGGGACTCCCAATCAAAAGCAGCTCTTAAGCTTCTCAGGAGACTGCTGAACCTTCCTGGGAGCAAAGCCAGCCCTTCCCCTGAGTTAGGAGTGCTTTGGGAAACAAAGGCTACCAGGCACTACTGGTATCGTTCATTCTCATGGCCAATGACTTTCTCTGCTCAGCACTAGTCAGAGGGGATTATTGGACAACATACATGGTAAAGAAAAAGCTCATTGGAAACTGAAGTCTATTTGTCAAAATTACACATGATCTAAATGCGGTGTGGTATCCTGGAACAGGAAAAGATTATTAGTGGAACACTTTTGTGAGATTCAAATGAAGTCTGTAGTTCAGTATCATACTCATGTTAATTTATTAGATGCAACAAAATGTATTGCAATTATGTAAGGCGTTAACATGAGGGAGGGTTTGGGGTGAAAGGTGTACAGAAACTCTTTGTGCTGCTTTGTATCTTCTATAAACTTGATTCCAAAATTCAGTTTGTTTTTTAAAAAAAATTTTTAAACTTGACACACAAGAGGTTAAGGAACTTACATAAGTTCACATAACTAGCAGGTGGTAGAAACAGGATTTAAATCTTGGCTGACCTGTGTTCTTGTGAGGATTAATAAATATTTAAAAATCATATCTGTAAATCTAAGCTTGTAAAGTGAGTACAGAAATACATCCCAGTGTTGTCAGTTCCTTCTTTTTGAATATTTGGAAGTCCAGTATCTTCTGTTGATTCACTTTTGAGATTTGTTTTCTATCAGGAGAGTTCTTAATCATTAAGGAAGGTTTCAGCAGTTCATTTATCTTGTAGTTTTGAGGAGAGGGAGATTTCCTGTGCCCACACTGTAGTAAAATCCATTCTGTTTATTGAATTTGTTATTTAAAAAAAGCAAAACAAAACACAACACAGTTTTATTCACAGGTTGTTTGCAGTATGAGTTAAAATGCTTTAGTCTGCAAGTAACATAGGACCCCAAGTGAATAGGTTAACTTGTAAGAAGGTTATTACCTCACACATAAGAGTGACTATAGAGGATTCCTCAGTTCACCAATACAGTATCATCGAGGACTCCGTCCTTTCCTTTTCTCTTCGCATTCAGTCCCACTCCAGTAAAAATGGTGGTGTTAAGGAAAGTGTGTGATTCACCCCACAAATCTTTTTTTTTTTAATTAGTAGCCTTAATTTTTTTAGCCATTTTAGATTTGCAGAAAAATTGATTTCCCTTATGTATGGAGATTTCCCTTATGTTCCTCTGCTCCACAGTTTCTCCTCTGATTAACATCTTGCTTAGGCGTGGCACATTAGTTACAGTTGAGGAACCAACATTGATACATCATTGTTAAAGTCCTTTGTTTATATTAGCGTTCCCTCTCTGTGTTGTATATAGTTCCACTGGTTTGGAGAAATACATGATGTCATTTATCTACCGTTATAGTATCTAAGAGAGTAATTTCACTGCCCTAAATATCCTGTTTTTCACTTACTCATTCCTCCTTCTTTTCCTTACTCCCGAACCCCTGGAAATGACTGATCTTTTTTTGTTTTTAAACTATCTCTGTAGTTTGCTCTTTCTAGAATGTCTTACAGTTAGAATCATACAATACCCAGTCTTTTCAGACTGACTTCTTTCACTTAGTTATATACATTTAATGTTCATCCATGTCTTTTTGTGGCATCTTTTGTGTTGCTAAATAATACTAGTTTTGTGACTGTACCACAGTTTTCCCTTTCAATTACTGAGAGACATCTTGGTTGCTTCCAGCTTCTGGCAGTTATGGATACAGTGGTGAACATTTATGTGCAGGTTTTAGGGTCAGTGTCAGTATTTGACTCATTTGGGTAAATGCCCAGGAGTGTGATTGCTGGATCACATGGTAGGACTGTGTTTTAACTTTGTAGGATACCATGGCACTGTCTTCCAAAATGGCTTTACCATTTCAAATCCTTTTTAATTCATGAGTAATGGGTAGTCATCCATTTGTTAATCTTTTCTGTCAGTGGCAAAGCCCCTCTGCAAGTTTTCCTCAAGAAAACTAGGTCTGAGGCCCATTCCTGAACCAGTCACTGGCAAGGGGAAGGAGACCATGGTGATTGTCTTTAAACCAGTGAGAGTTCATCTTTGGTAATAGGTCTCCACCTGGAGAGGGGGCCCCTTCCCCTGATCTTCCTGCTGAGTAAAGAGGGAGGGAGGACACAGATGCCCAGATAGAATTGAGGCTGTGCCAGCAAGCAAGATACAGTGGGAGAAAGGTGATTGATGGAGGCAGCTATGACTGCCTCAGGTACTGCCTAAGGCCTGCTGTTAGGCCTTTTCTTTCCTCTCTCCCCTGCCTTCCTTCCTCCACCCCTCCTCATCCTATTCCCTCCTCAAGCCCAACTGACCATTTTCAGTCTACGCATGTTGCCAAAAGCAAGTTTCAGGATGTTTAGATTTCATGCTGTCACCCCTCACCCCTGACTTTGAACATCAGACCATATAAGCATTTTTAGACACCTAACCAATCTTGAAATTGTGGTTTTGGAAAACATAAGTTATTGAAAGTAAGCACTTACTTACTTAAGAAATCATTACACCTTTATTATGACTGCATAGTAATAAAACTCATCACTCACACAGAATTAGGCCATTCTTACAGATCTGTCTGCTTCTTGTCTTGGCTCCACCATTAATGAGTCGTGGAGTCAGGGCTCTTCTCCTGTCTTAGTGGCCTTTAATGCCTCTGGCTGTAAAAGGAGGTGAGACTGGCCAATCCTTCTTGTCTCTGTAAAATTTACTGTAAAACTGTATCAATCTGTGGCTTGTTGCAAACACAAAAAAGGATTCCCAAGTAGTAAAAATGCACCAGGTCATCAAGGATTCAGATTCTGGCAAGTCCTCTGTTCTTACACATCCATGAAGAACTTTATTGCTCTCTTTAATTGCCCCTAGCCAAGGTTAATTGGGTGTATTTAAGTCTTCTCTTATGGTATTCCGTGTGCCTTTCTAGTCTTTGCTCGAGTTTTTTTTTCTCCTTGCCGATTCTGATCAGTAGCTGTCAGTGTGTTTTCTGGAGGTCAGTGGTTTCTTGTCAGCTCTTGGCTGGCAGGTGGCACTTTTGAAGTCCTGCGCACTTTGCCTCCTCCTGGCTATTCGTGCCCTCAGTTCTTGGCAGGGTGCAGAGAAGGATCAAGTAACTCAAGTGTTTCCCTCACACTGACATTCATCTTGGTATTCATCTTCCTTGTCCAAGAATGGATAAAGAAGGCATAATTAAGAAAATACTGGGGCTCCTTTGTTGTGACCAGAAACCTGTCCCATTGTCACTGATGCTCATTCATTGTGTTTACCCTCAAGCGGCTATAATTCTTAGAAGGATTTCTCCTGTCAGCCTGTTATCCTGGCTTTGAAAGCCTCAGGTTTGAAAGGGGATTTCTTAGCACATCGAAGGATTTACTGTTTGATATAAGCATAATTTTTCCTGTTTGTTGTTGTTCCTTATCTGCAAGTTACTCTTTTTTTATTTTTTAAAGAATGAGTGAGTGAATGGACAATGCCTTTACCTTTTCTTTTTAATTAAAGAAATTGGTGCCTTTTAATTTATTTATTGTTGTCTGCCCTGTGGCATTCGGGATCTTAGTTCACTGACCAGGGATTGAGTCTAGACCTCCTACATTGGGAGCCCAGAGTCTTAGCCACTGGACCACCAGGGAAGTCACTCTGCAAGTTACTTTCAAGACTATGATTTGTTTCTGTTTTTATTCACTTTGTTGTCATTTTAGCTTTTTAAGACATGTTCTAGATTACTAACCCATCCACAATGTTTCTAGCCTCTGAAGCCATTCCTGGGGAGATGTGAATAGACATTGTGTAGCTTGTTATTTTTAGAAGTATTTTATGTGGCAGGTGGCAGGTAATAATCCCAACAGCTGCTTAGAAAGTATATGGTTTTTGAGGGCTGTTAGGGAGAGACCACAGATGTCTTATTTCTCTGGTGTAGCTATTTAACATCATTTCAAACAGCCCACTGTGCTCATCTTCTCACTAGTTGGAAAGGCAAGAGTTTGGCTCCAAGGAGCCAGTATTTCTGTGGTGGCAGCTGGAAGCCACTGAAGGCTTTTGGGTGGCATAGGAGGAAAGTCAGAATGACTTTCTGAGATGCTCTTGTGGATTGTGTATAGGGATCCTGGCGATGGATCTGAAGACCAAAGAAAGTTGCAAGAGATCAAGTTGTATTAGCTGAAATCAAGAATGAGCAGAAGATCCAAATACTGTCACGGAGGAGCATGTCACCAGGAATACCATTCACAAATCTTGATCCATGGCAGCCTGCCCTGGATCAGGACGTCTTGGTCGTGGAACACTAGGGAGCATCCCAGGGATGGAGTAGGATACTTTGGGGATGCTGGACACCCCTATTTGGTTACTCCCTCACTGTGTGTTTTTTGCTGCATTTATTTCATTGCAGGTTCGAATCTTCCTCCCACGCCATCAGCATGAGCGCCTACTTGCGAGAACAGAGAAGAGAGCTGTACAGTCGGAGCGGAGAACTTCAAGGTGGGTAACTGACCCTCCCTGGAAAAACTCATTTTCTGGAGGAAGATCTGAAGTGTTTATAGCATGTGAATTTGAGGTCTGCATTCATAGGATTCTTTGACAGCAGCAAAGATTTAAATACTTGGTAATCTGTTTCTTCTATCATTTCCCATCTGCCACCAAGCTGCTAAAACTGTTAGTATGGCCTCAGGATTTATAGACCTGCCACCATTCAAGTGTGAACTCAAAGTGAAAAGAGAAGGAGGGCAATTTCTTCTTGCTTAAAGATGACGGACATGATTCTAGTCACCGTCTAGAGGAATGCCCGTCTTCTGTGGCTGCCATGTTATTTTAATTATTGTTTTCAGTACTTTCTGGAGTATCACAGGAATGCTTGAGATTTGGAAAAGGGCAGATGCTACCTCTGTCATTATTTAAAGGGAAGAAGGATGCCTTTAGACAGTGTGTGCTGATGAACATAGCTTTGATACACAGGATATTTGATACTTAGGTGTGGTTACTAAAGAGTTGAAATCTGAAGGAGAAAATACTTAAGAAAATAAATAAATTTAATTAAATAAAAAAAAATCATGCCAGTAACATTTTTTTCCCTGTGATCAAAAGGACGCTAATCATCGTAAATGTGATCAATCAAGAAAGGTTCATGAGGCCTGCTAAATGCAGCACAGGCAAGCACTGAAAGGGGTGGAAGTTGTCTGGTACAAATAAAAGATAGAGCCTGAAGATCCAGTTGTGAAAGTAAGGGAGGAATATCAATATCAGGGACTTCCCTGGTGGTCCAGTGGTTAGGAATCTGCCTTGCAATGCAGGAGACACAAGTTCGATCCCTAGCTGGGGAGTTAAGATGCCCCATGGTGCACGTACAACAAACAAACAAACCCTTCAGAAACCAAGCAGTGTCAGTCAGTCAGTGGTTAACAGCTAAGCAGGTGGTAGGCATAAATTGCTAAGTTTGTTGAGGGAAGGGAATGATTCTTTAGATTGAATTTCTAGAATTAAAAACATAGAAATATGTTTGAGGATGTAAGGAAAAGGACATTAGCTTACCAGCATCTTATTTAGTACTAAAGTATTGCTATATGTTCTAGAAAACATGAAGTGTGTGTCTTGGAGTCTTGAAGTGGAGGAGTATGGAGAGTAGTTAGATTTGGAATAAGTGAAGGAGTGACCCGCTGTGTGGTCAGACAAGGAGTGAAGGAGGAATGTGATCCAGGCTGCGGCCAGCGACCTCCTAGCAATGCAGGATGAACTGCAGAGCTTGGAAGACAATGACAGTTTTGGAACACACATTCTTGTAGGACTGATTATACTTGGACTTCCAGGTAGGGGGTCTAGCAAATCATCTCACAGAGTTCATTTGTGAATTCAGAGTTGGCCTAAGGAATAGTTTAAAATTTACCCATATAATTCCTTTTCACCTGGCTTCTAGTATATGATCTAAGGTTGGGAAGATCTCCTGGAGAAGAGACTGGCAACTCGCTTTGGTATTCTTGCCTGGAACATCCCATGGATAGAGGAGCCTGGTGGCCCACAGTGCTTGAGGTCGCAGAGTCAGACATGACTGAGCACACATAAGTATGCACTAGATTCTTCTTTTTGGTTAGATAGTAAGCCCAGTGAGTAAGCAGTCTGCTCTAGCCATGTGGAGGGATTTTCTCTGCTTCCTCCCCAGTTGTGGTCCATGATCTCTTGAGAGACAGTAATAGCCAATCAATGAAGAGTAGAGAATTCTGGGCCCATATTGCCTGCATTTCAAACCTAGCTCCCGATTTCCTAGCTTCAGAAGCTCTATGCTTCTGCTTATCTCTAGATGGGGATAAAAATAGCAGTGCCTACCCCATGAGGTTGTTATGAAAATTAGGTGAGTAAAGCTGTGAACAGTGTTAAGAAAAGTGCCTGGCATGTAGTAACTCTAATGCCTTCCTCCTCAGATGTTGTTATTACTAGTTCTGTCACTATAGAGTTTTCACATACATTCTGTTTGTCTCCTCATTGGGCTAAATGCAACTCAGCTTTCCTACTTAAATTTGTCATTTACTCTGCTGGTCCCTCCTCTCCCTAACTAACCTCCTGCCCACCACCCAAAAAACCACACACACACACTGTTTCTACCTTTCTCTGAGCTCATTCCCCCTGCTGTGTGCTCACACATTTAGTGTTCCCTTTCTGATCACTTTCTGCGCTGGAGTGTGGATTAATGCTCACTGTTTGAGTCGGCCACTGAAGTATAAGCTCTGAGAGGGAAGTACTTCTTTATTTCCTGTGCTTTGCACAGTGCCTGGTATGGTATATGTTCGATAAAGACTGACTGACTCACTGACAGGAGGAATATGGGTGGTAGCGGTCTAAAGTAGGATGGACAAGGTATAAAATAGGATGGACAGCTTACCACTGAGAAGTTAGGGCCCAAAGGAGATGGGACCACTGACAGCCATTACCAGCTTCCTAGGTTTCCATTTGCTTTTAAGTTTAGGCTGAAGTAGAGCCTATACGTGGAGAAGGCAATGGCACCCCACTCCAGTACTCTTGCCTGGAGAATCCCATGGATGGAGGAGCCTGGTAGGCTGCAGTCCATGGGATTACACAGGGTCAGACATGACTGAAGTGACTTAGCAGCAGCAGAACCTATACATAAATACATTTTTGTTCTTTGCAGTTATACATGGCTTTATTAAGTACAAATATTGCCCTTGAGCTGTCTGGCCTATGACAGCATTGCTGTGTATAATTGAAAAACATTAAAATCCAGTTAAATTACAGAGGACTTTCATTCTGCAAGGGTGGTTAATTGAAGAATCATCATAATCTTAACTAGGAACTTTTCGTCTTTCAACAAGTTAATTGAAATATGGAACTTTGAAGCAACAGTCTATTGTACTTACCTGTGTTGAGCAAAACAGGTGCATTTATCTCTGGTTACAGGTAAAGAGTAGCTAGCAAACATATCATGTTCACAATAGTCATTAAAAAATAATTGAACTGAACTGACACATCACATGCTTGGTGAGAGACTATATCACCTGACCAATTATTGTACAAGTCTGGTAGTGTTTCATTTAGCAGCTAGAGTTTCTCTGAAGAATGCTTTTAATATTTCAGGGAAAAAAGGTGGGGGGGTGTCATACCAATTTTCCATTAAAAATGGTCATTCTTTCTCAGTTATTCTATTAATCTGACCTGTCCGAGGACCACAGTGAGATCCACATTTCAGCTTATCCTGAAAAGGTGTAGCTTAATAGTTCAGTCACATCATGAGAGACTGGCAGGGGATTTTCGTCACGTCTCTTAACACCACGTAGCTGCAGTGGTTTGGTTCATGAGGTCAGCTCTTCCTTCTGTATGTAGGAGCATGGTAAAAGACAGACCATCAAAGTAACATTAAAAAGCTCAAATCTGACAAAAGTTCAGTTCCTGCCAACACTTCCAATTCATCATGCAATTAAAAATGTTACCCAACCTAACAACCCACAAGGGGGAAGAAAAGAATAAAAAAATGAGATTTCTTTGGTACCATCAACCCATCTCAGTTGGCTCTGTCAGGGTACAGATGGTTCATTATATAGTCTGCTGTTGGCAATTGGGCTGAGGACGTGGGGGTGCGATTTCCAAGTGTGCAGGGTAACAGGTGGAAATCAAACTTGTGTATGTGTCTCCGTTAATCACAGACGTCCTGTTGTTCCGAGCCTCTTCACTGACTGGTTCATTGTTCCGCTTAGGCAGCCATGTGGTCGCTTAGAAAGATACTCATTTTAATGAATGTTTAGCTTGAATATAGCATCTCAGGTTTAGTGCGTTATTCTCCAGGAGAATAAGATAACTGATGAACACATTATCTCATGAGGGCTAAAAAAAGAAAAGGAAAGTCAAAATACTCACTGCAACCCATGACTGAAATAAGCTCTTTGGTTAATCAGTCCCCTGTGCCTCGGACCTCTCATTTGAAAAATAGAGCTGTTATCATTTCTGACTCTTTTAGGGGGATATTGTGACTGGTAAACTCGATATTAAAACTCTGGAAAAATTAGAATAGCTGTAATTGATTGAAATTAAAATGGTGTGTAAAGCAATTGATTGTTGCAGACTGAAGGGCGCTGCCCCCTCTTTATCCCTCATTTTCTCCTCCCCTCCACTCCCGTTGTTCCTCTGGGTCGGCTCTCCTCAAGGTCACCAGTGACCTCCATCTTGGCAGATTTTGTGTTTCTTTTCTGTCTTCATCTCACCGCCTCTCTCAGCAGCTGTTTTCCGTTCCTCTTTCTCATGTTCTTTCTGCGTCTTCTCGAGGCCTCCGCGGAGCATCTCACGGTTTGTCCTGGAATCTCTCCTGTGCTCTCTCTGTGGCCTTTTCCCAAACGAGCTCAGCCAAAACCAAGCTTTGCCTGCGGCCTCGATGCAGATGACTTCCAAGTCTGGGTCTCCTGCCCAAATCTCATTACTATTTCCCGATCTCTTCCAGTATCCTGTGTCCCCTTCTCGCATCCTAACATTCTTAATCTCAGCAGGTTTTTTATTTTCCTCATGATACATTAAAAAAATATATACATCTTCTTAACACGTTATTGACTGGTGATTTTTTGCAGAAGCTACTAATGCCTATGGTTGGCGATTTGTTATGTAAGTGAATTTTGAAACACTCTGGTCAATAATATTTGGGTAACAAAAGATGTACTAATACTCCTCTGGTCAATCAGTGGTTAACTTGTTAATTTTCTACACATCCCTCAGAATGCAAGCATCGATGGTGTGTTCCATGGCCTGGGACAATGCTTGACTTGAATTAGGCACCTAGAAAATACATGATGAAGGAGGAGGCCTCTGTCCTCACCATCTTACATGTAGGTTCAAGCTTACTTATTTGAGAAACCCTAGTGGGGGGTTTTAAGAAAGAGACTTATAGTTCTGTGATTTGTCTATGTTCATTTTTAAAGATGTTGGAACTCATGAGTGGGTAGGGTACATTAATTGTCACTGATCCAAGTTGAAATGTACGCTCAGTTTCGATT